TGGTTGGTGTTCGCGCCCCTCTCCCCCCCCCCCGCCACACACACACACACACACACATACACACACTTGCCTAACGTGTTTATCAAGCTGCCGGATCCAGGACTCAGAGGATGCAGTCGGCCATGTGCGATCCAGCTTCCTCAACTGCCACACCACCAGCTGGACTGAGCCTCTTATTTTTTAAGTTTTTTTTTTTTTTTCCATGAGTGGTAGAGCTAGAGAGACAGAGACAGGAAGACAGCACCCCCAACAGGATCGTGACATCCCAGTCCACCTGAAATAATGGGTACACATGTGCCTTGCATATGCATTGTGGTCTCTGGATGTAAACCCTCTCATGTCACAGAGTGTATCACGTTTTACCATTGTCATAGTCTATCTCTGCCTGCTGAAATTTCTGTTGATGGTGTAGAATTTGCAAAACAAACCAGAATTGACCTCTTAGGGCTAGCAGATGGTGTAATGGTTAAGACTTTGGACTCCCATGTGACGATGACAGTTTGAGTCCCGGACCCAACAGCATGAAACTCACACCAGGTGCACATGCCCATGTACCCAAAATCCCAGGACAATAGAGAAGGGATTGCAGCATGGCCATCCTCCTTGGGGGTGATTTCTTGCTTTCTCTCTGTGTGTCTCTCTGTCTCTCTAGCAAGTGCAAGTGCCTTAGAGCAAAAATCTCCCTTAAAAAAAGAAAAAAGGAAAAAAAACAGAATTGACCTCTTTGGGGGAAATTTTTATTTATTTATTTAATTCCTTTTTTTTTTTTTTTTTCAATTTCGCCAGAGAGAGGAATGGAAAGCAAGAAAGCAAACTGCCAGGTCTGGGACTTGAACCAAGGTTGACCATGTGGGAATCCAGCACCTTTAACCATCACGCCACCTGCCGGCCCCCACAATTCACCTCTTAACAGTACTGAGTCTTTTTTTTTTTTTAACTATTTTATTTAACTTTATTTATTTATTTATTTTAATTTGACCAGAGAGGGACAGAGTGAGAGAGAAGAAGTAAGAAAACAAGTTGCCAGGTCCAGGACTTGAACCACAGTCAGCCATATGAAAGTCCAACGCCTTTTAACCACCATGCCACCTGCTGACCCCAACAGTATTGAATCTTCTGATATACATGAGCGTGATTTCTCTATTTACTTAGATCTTCAATTTCTCTTTGCAGTCTTTTGTAGTTTGCAGCATGTAGGTCTTACTTTTTTTTTTTTTTTTAATTTACCCCAAAGTAATAATGCTTTTTGTTGACTTTGTAGGATTTTCTAATAGATAGTTATATCATCTGTAGATAAAGATAGCTTTACTTCTTTTCAAATCTGTGTGTGTTTTATTTCTATTTTCTGTCTTATGGCATTAAGATCTCTAGTATAATATTGAATAGAAAACACTTCCTTACCGTGTTCCCTTTATTAGGTGGAAGAATTTGGTCTTTCTCTGTTGAATGTGGTGTTAGATATACGGTTTTTTTTAGAGATGCCCTCTGTCAGTGAGAAAGATACTCCTTTTCCCAAGTTCTCCAAGAGATTATATTGTGAATGTGTATTCAGTTTTATCAAATATTATTTTCTATATGAAGATAGTCCTTTGGGTTTTTGCCTATGGTCTGTTACTATGACTTATTACAGTGGTTCATTTCTGAAAAGTAAACCTGTCCTTGTTCCTGGATAAATTCTGGGGGTTCATGCTGTATTAGTCATTTTACACTTGTAACTAGAGGTGATTTAATATTTTACTGAGGATTTTTATATCTTCATTCAAGAGGGATCTTGGTCTGTAGTTTTTTTTTTGTTTTTTTTTGTTTTTTCACTATAGGGCGCATGCACTCGCCAGACAGACAGAGAGAGACATAGAGACAGAAAGCGAGAAATCACCCCCCAGGGGGGATGGTCACGCCACAATCCCTTCTCCTCCATTCTCCTCTCGGGATCTTGGGCACGCACGCACATGCGCCTGGCGTGAGTTTTAAGCCACCGGGTTCGGGACACGAACCGCGGTCGACTACATGGGAGTCCAGTGACATAGCCGTTACGCTAACTGCTGGTTCCTGGTCTGTAGTATTTTTTTGTCTTTGGTTTGGATGTTAAGATAACGTTGGCATCGTAAAATGATATGTGAAAAGTTTCTTTTCTATTTTTTGGAAGAATTTGGGTAGAATTGATTAAATGTTTGGTAGAATTTGCTGGTGAAGATAATGAGTCCCAGATTTTTCTTTGTTAGGGTTGTTTCTACTTACAACTTCAATTTTTTTAGTGGCTATTTAGGTAATATTTCTTTATAAGTGAACTTTGTTAGTATGGTTTTCAAATAATTTATGCATTTATCTCAATTGTTGAATTTATTGATACAAAGTTGTCCATAGCATTTCTTTTTTCTTCAGATGTGAAAAGCATTTGTAGTGATAATCTTTCACTTCTCTTATTGGTAATTTATGTCTTTTTTCCTTTTTTTCGGGTCACACTGGATAGAAGCTTAACAATTTTATTAAGCTTATCAAAGATCCAGAGTGTGATTTCATGAGACTCCAAATTCAAGTGTCTTCCACTGCCTTCTATTTCTTTTACCCAGCTACAGAGTTTGTTTTTTCCCAGTTCTTTTTTCTCTATTTTATTTCTAGTTTCTATTGCTATATATAAAAATTCACTGGCCTTTTTATGCAGTATCTATTCTGTTTTTAATCTCATCAGCCAGATTTTTACTTTAAATAGTGTTTTTCA